CTTTTTCCTAACCTGGAAAAGCAAGAATTTCATGACTTTGGAGTTCGGAGTCTGGAGGCGGAGTCCTTGGAAAAAACTGAAGCAACTTTGCGCCTTAATCCCTTTACCGTACAACTTTCCGCCGCGAAACTGGCACAGGGTTGTCCACTCCGGACCGCACTACCTTCCCACATAACCTCTTGCATTTTCATAGGTCATCGCGGACCGCTCCTGCTGATAGCCTATCTTGAGGCTCAAATCGGCTTGGTGGGGGTATTTTGCTGGTTCTCATGGGTCATTGCCAACGGAGACGGACTCATGGGGAGACCTGTGAATACTTGTAATGCTATGCAATAGCACAGCATTACAATTATTCACAGGTCTTCACACTTGGCAGGAATCTGCAGGTTTTACAAAGTTATATGTGGGCAAGCACTAGCAAGAGAAACTGGCGAGAGCTAAAAATGCCTCACTCCTGAGCCCGACAGCGCTTTATCTTGATAACGATGCTATAACCAACAGGACCCTAGTTGGCTCAATAATTATTGGACTTCCACTCTCCTTCATAAGAAGTCATAAAGTCATAAAGTGGGCGGAACTTGTGCGTGATGGGCAGAGCTATGTGGTGCCATGCAGTTTACATGTAAAAGCATGATAACATCTCAATTTTGTAGAAAGTCGTAATGCATCATTTAGTGACTTGGAGAGGGAGAGGAGGTACAGTCTCGCTACTATGCTTTTCTAGGTTTTACTGGTGTACACTGCGAGACGAATATAGACGATTGTGCTCGTTCGCCATGCCCTCTTGGTGCTACATGTATCGACCAGATCAATTCGGCATACTGTAGATGTCCATTCAACATGACTGGAACTAACTGTGACAAGGTAATTGCTTCGATCCTTTCCCTGTTTCACTTCCTGGTTTATCAAGCCATTTTAGATCATTGACGAAGACTACGATCTGCATTTCTTTGACTCGCTTCGTCCTGCAAGTGCGTCGTTGGCATTGCCATTCCCAGTCGCAACGAAAGCTTTAACGCTGTCGTTGTGGGTTAAATTCGACCAGCCACAAAGCAAAGGAACGGTACTAACTATGTATAACAGCAAGTAAGTTGGAAAGTCTTCAAATATTTCATATGAAGGGGAGGGCGGGAGGGAGGCAAAAAACAAAAGTTGTTCATTTCATGGCTCGCACAAGCTAATTTATCTTGTAGTGCGTGTCAAAAAGTTCCAAGTCAATCCAGAGGCATAAACTTGTTCTGCGGGCGCTCTTCGACTTAGAGGGGGCATTTTGCAGTTTTACTACGTCCTTTCGTTAGTCGATGTTGAATAACTTTAGTGGAACCTGTAAACTCTGAGAAGCTGCGAAGAGGTACCAATGAGCCGCATTCGTCGCAGGAAGTAACAGATCTCCACGGGAATGACGTATAAGCTTGGCTAAGGACCATTCGAAGTCTCCCACGAAGCCTTATTGCGCCGTCATACTCCGCTTTTCCGTCGTGAAAAGCCGTCCCCCACTATGAATAAAATCGGGAAGCCTAACAGTAGCGTATGAAAGGGGGAGGGGGGGGGGGGGGGCTGGGGTGCGGTCTAGTAAAGAGTGTTCATCCATGTGCATCCTTGTTCGCTGCGGATGCTGAGGCGTATCAGGGAGGCCGGGTTTTGCGCAGCGCCAGCCAGTTCTACATCAGTTGTTGAAGCGGCTAAGCCGAATAACGGAAAATGGACTGGCACCGCGCCAAATCCAGCCCCGCTGATACGGCCCTACATTCGCAGCGAACAAGGCGTTTCTCTGGCCAATCCGTGAACAGTGGTACTGGTGAGGAACATGGAAGAAGTGCGTCCCTTTGCTCCCCTCTATCCTCTCACTTAGAGCTTGGAACTTGCAGTTTATCATGTCTCTGAAGTTGAGTATTTCTCATTTTATTCCTTCAGAGAAGCTAACTACAGCGCCGAATTGATAGAAGTACTGCATTTGGATTCAGAAGGCATAAAAATTGCATTGTTCCCCAATGAGACGGCTCTGCAGCTGCATTTCCCTGTAAATCAAGGGATCAATGGAGGATCGTGGAATCATCTGGTAATGTTCACATTCTTGATGTTGCTTCATATTACCTTACCCTTAAAGGCACATTCCGCGATAAAATAAGGCTATGACCTCTCAAATGTGTCGGACGATCCGGAAGGCGATTTTTGAGGCTGCGCTACTTTCAAAATGTGAAAAACGGCAAGAACTCCGCTAGAAGCTGACTAATTAGGCCCATGGACACCCCTTAGGCCCATGCCGACCCTCACCGGCTGCTAGCTACTAGCTAGTAGCCACTATGTTATCTTTCTCTATAACATTTCGGACTGCTTTTTCTGCTGCTTTTCTCCGCTAATCAGATACTTAGCACTTTTTTGTGCCTATTTGAGTTCCGTTTCCCGCAATTTGCGGTCGCGAACTGTGCCTTTAATGTATAAAGGGTCTGCAAAACGATAGCTTCTTGAACCACGTTTGTAGTTGCCTCAAAAGTACAATGGGAACTGCATTCACCCAGAAATCGTCTGTCTTCCCAGGCTGTTCCCATTCACATATCTGTAACTACACTTTGATGCATCCCTCCTCTCTTCTTCAAGGTTCCTCGCGGTTATTTTGAAAACAGGGCACTTGATGGAGTGAATGTTCACGGCATCGTAAACACGTGGACATCTCAGGTCGCTACTCTCGTACCATTAGATGGTAGGGAGCCGGGTGCATAGCGCCACTATTACCCCCCCCCGACCAATGCACCCTGCCCAAGAATGGCTTGAACTAGTTTTATGGGACTTTTCACATGTCGTGGAGAGCACCCTCTCTGGTGAAAATATAGAAGCTGCTCTGGTAGTGGTAGCAACCGAATGGTCTCGAAATCTCTAGGGAAAGGAAATGCTTGTTGCTTCTATCTGGAGCTTTGCTGCTCAAGAGTAGTGTAAGCTCTTTAAAACCTGCTTTTTAGGTGTTCACATGGTCGTCCGAACAGGGCGCTTATTCACTGATATGGAACTCTGTGCGAATATTCGCTGGTTCTCATTATGGTGCTGGACAAGAGCTGGAAATGAAGTCAGTTACAGTTGGTATCGTCGTAAGTCAGTCAGGGCGGTGTCAGTAGACAAGGACGAGCCCGCCGGCAGCTTTTTCACCAACGATCATTTTTTATGCCGATCACTAACCGGTCACCATTGATAAAGCAGAGTGGCCGAAAGCGGGATTCTTCGCCCTTCTGTTACCTTTCGGAATGTATAGGATAGTTGATGTGGCTGCGACCATATCAGCTATACTACACGTAGTATTTTAATAAAAATTTCCTCGGAGGGTTGGACCCTTGCCCTAAGAGGGGTTGGATACTTGCCAGAAGTAGTCAACGTAAATTTGTGTTACTGAATAAGCTGTCATTTTTCAGTGCATTAATCACTTTGGGCAGCACAGAACTGGACGAGTTGTCGTTTGCTGGTTCAATAACCCGAGTTCATGTATGGAGTCGTGTGCTAGACTTTGATAGCGAAATACCTATGATGGTGGTCAGCTGTCATGGTAGCGAGGTGGGTTTATTAAATATGGAAGCTTACTCTTAGGTTGAGCGCCAGTATTTTGATTTCTTTATTCGCAATTTTGGCGAATTTCCAAGTCTTTACTTTGCTTCGGCTATTTGTCGACTTTCAGCTTGCCTATGATGGTCTGCTTCTGCGATTCAGTGGATACACAGAAATGAATGGCAAGGTGGAGAGGATACCGCGTAGCACTTGTGGACGAGAAAAACGAAAGCAACGAGAAGAAGCAGCTGTTAGAGTGGAGGTGAGCGTATGATTACGAATAGAAGGAAGTAAGTGGTGGGAGAGTGGGTACAAATGGTGCGACCATGGGCGCAAAGCTCCTTCAAGTGGTCTCTGTATTTACTGAATTCCTCTGGCTAGACCTCCTTCTTTGTCCTTACAGCACACGCTCTTTTAAGCTCAGAGAACGGGTTTTTCAAGCTAAATTCCTCTGGCTATACTTCCTTCTTTGCCCTTCAAGAACATGCTCTTCCAAGCTCAGAGGATGAGTCTTTCGAGGTTGTTCGATCCTCCTTTTGCGGCCCATCCATTCAAAATCCTCGTGGGCTTTCAGTCTAATTTTAGCGCTGTTCGTCTTGGGAGGGGCTAGTTCCCTTTAGGTAACAGGACTCATTTTTGCGAGACTTGTAAAGCCGTGTGAAGCGCGAAATGGTACAAGTAAGCGACTTCAGGTTTTACAGGTTTTTACAAGGTGGCTCGTACAATCTTTGCCGAGTACCATTTGGTGTCCCCACCAGGCCGAATTGCTCCCTGATTTTGTCGCTTTCGATAGCCTTCTTCTGCACGAATCAGCGCTTTATCCACTCAGGCAAATTTGGTTCCAATCAACTGATCCTGAAGAAATGGAAGGTGCCGCTCACCCGCCCGGGAAATATTCCGAGATTTAAGCCGTCTAGTGAGCGACACTCTACGCTACATATCCTCCTCCCGCGAGCTTTTTGTTCCTCTGTTTTACTACTACTGTTTACCTTCTTGAGTTTGAAGAAACGTCTCCCCCCCCTATGTGTATCATTCTGAATCTTTTTCTTTTCAGAAATGTCCTTCCGATCAGTTCGTATTGTCATCACAGCGAGAAATAAATGTCACATGGCCTGAGCCCGAGTTCCAAACGGGAAATGAAATGAAGAAAATCCAGATGAATTTCAAACAAGGACAGGTATGAACCACATCACATTGCATAGATTTTTTTGAAACTAATCTGAGGGGAACGCGAGGGGTCCATGGTGACGTAGTAAAAACTGAATATAAAATAGAAAAATAAAATGCCTAATAGTAACAATTTTCATTGTATTCACCGTACG